ATAATCGAAACATTAATCAGAGAAAATAATATTTTACTAAATTAAACAAGAATCTTTTCTGCTATACACAATAGCTGGAGCACGCAAAGAGTTACCAAAGTTTAAGGTGGAGCTGTGAGGATGGGCGTGGGAGCTGCGCAGGCAGCTGTGCCCGGCTGGCACCCCGGGCCAGGCCAGGCCAGGCCAGCTGTCAGCACGCCCGGGAGCTGTGCCCAGCAGAGGAGCTCCTCCGCTTAGGGACACTGCCCGGGACACCTGGAATGGAGGATTCCCTGTCCCCCCTCTGCCTGGCTGGACACCGTGACGTGAGGGGTAGGGGGCAATGGCAATGAGCTCCTGCCCAGCGCAGCAGACACGTCCCCTCAGCAGCAACCCCACCTTCCCAGCTGTTCTTGCACAGCAGGTATGGGGCCCTGCGAGTGGTGCCTAGCAGTAATGAAGACGGTGGGTCCTCTAGCTTGGAAGTGTCAGCCTGTGCCCTGCATCCAAACTACTTCTACAAAGGAAAAAAGACAGCTCATTGTCATAGGTGACTCCCTTCTGGAGGGAACAGAAGGCCCGATATGCAGACCAGATGCAACTTGTTACAGAAGTCTGCTGCCTCCCTGGGGCCCGGGTTAAAGATGTGAGAAAACTTCCTGCCATGGTAGAGCCCTCTGATTATTATCCATTATTGACTTTTGAAGTAGGCAGTGATGAACTCAAAAGAAATCCAAGGGCAGTGAAGAGAGACTTCAGGGCCCTGGGATGACTCATCAAAAGATCAGGAACACAAGTAGTTTTCTTCTGAATCCCTCCAGTTGCAGGGAATGATTAGGGGAGAAGCAGGAAGGCCCACCAGATCAATACCTGGCTCCAAGCCTGGTGCCACCAGCAGAACTTCAAGGTTTTTTTGATTATGGGTCAGTTTACACAACACCAGGTCTGTTGGCAACAGATGGGGTACACCTGCCTCAAAGAGAGAAAAGGCTTTTTGCAGAGGACTTGGCAGGGCTCATCCAAGAGCTTTAAACTAGTTTTGAAGGTAGGAAGGGATAAAATCAGACTTGCCAGAGATAAGCCTGGAGGTGGCATGCTGGTATTTAAAGGATGGTGTGCTAGCAAGGTCCTTTAGTCTGTCATCTTAGTGGAGGCAGGGATAGAGATCCATGTGGCAGCAAAGACACAAGAGTTATTACTGGAATAACCCTTTGAGGGAAGGGTGAGGTGGAAGTGCCTGAGGTGGTCACAAATGGATTAGGGCTTCTGGCTCCAAAAAGGTCACAGGATCAATAGCCCAACTCAGTTGCATCTACACCAGTGCATACATCAATTTCAACTTCCCGGATGTCTGCTGTAAATACAATGCAGCAGAGAGGAAACAGTCGAGGAGGTTCCTGGAGTGTGTGGAAGATAACTTCCTGACACAGGTGGTGAGTGAGACAACTGGGGAAGGCTCCCTGCTAGACTTGTTGCTCGTGAACAGAGAAGGGCCAAAGCCCAACTAGAACTTAATCTGGCTACCGCTGTAAAAGACAATTAAAAATGTTTCTGTAAATGCATTAGCAACAGAAGGAACTCTAAGGAGAATCTCCATCCCTTATTCCATGCAGGGAGAAACACAGTGACAAAGGATGAGGAAAAGGCTGAGATACTAATGCCTTCTTTACATCAGTCTTTACTAGTAAGACAAGTTATTCTCCAGGTACCCAGCCCCCTGAGCTGGAAGACAGGATCAGGGAGCAGAGTGAAGCCCCCATAATCCAAGAGGAAATAGTTAGCTACCTGCTACAGTACTTAGACACACACAAGCCTATTGGACTTGATGGGATCGGCCCAAGGGTACTGATGGAGCTGGCAGAAGTGCTCACCAAGCCACTTTCTATCCTTTATCAATAGTCCTGACTATCTGGGGAAGTTCCAGTTGACTGGAAGTTAGCAAATGTGACACCCATCTACAAGAAAGGTTGGAAGGAGGATCTGGGTAACTACAGGCCTGTCAGTCTGATGTCAGTGCCAGGGAAAGTTATGGGGCAGATGATGAGTGCCATCAGGAGGCACCTATAGGACAACCAGGTGATCAGGCTCAGTCATCATGGCTATAGGAAAGGCAGGTGCTCCTTGACTGACCTCATTTCCTTCCATGAGAAAGTGAACTGCTTAGTTGATGAGGGAAAAGCTGTGGATGTTGTTTACCTGGACTTCAGTAAAGCTTTTGACGCCATTTCCCACCTGGAGAATCTGGCTGGTCATGGTTTGGATGGACGTACTCTTCACTGGATTAAAAACTGGCTGAACAGTCAGACCCAGAGAGTGGTAATGAATAGAGTTAAATCCAGTTGGTGGCTGGTCATGTGGTGTTCCCCAAGTCTCAGTATTGAGTGGCTGGTTCTCTTTAATATCTCTATCAGTGATCTGGTTGAGGGCATCAAGGGAACCCTCAGTAAGTCTGCAAGTTGAGTGGGTCTGTTGATCTGCTTTGAAGGTAGCAAGGCTCTACAGAGAGATCTGGATAGACTGGATCAATGGGCCAAGGCCAATGATACGATGTTAAACAAGACCAAGTATCAGGTTCTGCACTTGGGTCACAACAATCCCAGGCAATGCTCCAGGCTTGGGGAGGAGTGGCTGGGAAGCTGCCAGGCAGAAAAGGACCTGGGGGTGTTGGTCGATAGCCGACTGAACATGAGCCAGCAGTGTGCCCAGGTGGCCAAGAAGGCCAATGGCATCCTGGCTTGGCAGAAATTGTGTGTCCAGGAGGACTCTGGAAATGATCACACCTCTGTGCTTGGTGCTGGTGAGGCCACACCTCCAATATCGTGTTCAGATTTGAGGCCCTCAATACAAGAGAGATACTGACACATTCTGGAGCATGTCCAGAGAAGGGCAATGAAGCTGGTGAAGGGTCTAGAGCACAAGCCTTTTGAGGAGCAGATGAGGGAACTGGGGTTGATTAGCCTGGAGAAAAGGACACTGAGAGGAGACTTCTTCTCTCTCTACAACTACCTGAAAGGAGGTTGTAATGAGATGGGGATTGATCTCTTCTCCCATGTAGCAAGCAATGGGACAAGAGGAGATGTCCTCAAATTGTGCCAGGGGAGGCTTAGGTTGGATAATAGGAAAAATTTCTGCCCGGTTGTCCGGGTTGTAAAGCCCAGAACTGGCTGTGTGAGGAAGTGGTGGAGTTGCCATCCCTGGAACAGTTTATAAGCTATGTAGATATGGCACTTAGGTACATGGTTTAGTGGTGGACTTGGCAGTGTTGGGTTAATGGCTGGACTTGATGATCATATGGGTCATTTCCTAAATAAACGATTCTATGATTCTATGTTACAGACATCGATTTTATATATTTATACTTTATGTACATCTATCTTTTGGGTTATGTCTTGTAAGACATTTAATATAAGAGTAAAGTTATAGTAAATGTTACAGAAGTTAAAATAATGGTTCAGTGTACTATCATCTTGTAGTGCTTCCTAGTTCCTATCAAAGCTGATAAATAAGAAGCTGCTGCTTGCTTCAGCAGAAGGAAATGAAACACAAATGAAAACACTACATCTATTGTACATCTTTCAAGAACAGAAAATAAGTCAACACCAAGGGGAAACAACTTGACTTCCTGCCTCATTCTAATGATTAAATAGAATCCTTCTGAATAATTAATACATTTTTTATTATCAAGTTTAATTCTTCGAAGTCAAGAAAAAGAGAAAAGTTGTTCTCTACCATGTCTTGCAAAAAAATCCACTGTAAAAAAATAACTGAAATTTAGGTAAATACTTAAAATGCCAGGGGTTTTATGTGAAGTTTAGGGGCCAGACTGCAGTATCGCTGAAGAACTTTAATTTCAGTATTTTTTCTTGTAAATATATCCATATATTTTACCAGTTTGTGTGGAGTTACCAGAGATGCTGACAATAAAAGGCAGTTAGACCTGATGAACTGGAAGCTCCTCTTGTTTCTGAAAGTTTTACAGTTACTCTTTTAATTGTTTACTTGCTTTCTTTACACTAATAAATATGTATTGAAATAATCTGAGTAATAATATCAACTGAGAAAGAGATCCGTGGGAGATGAGAATGAGTTGGTTGTAAATGTCTTGGAGTTTTGATGCCTGGTAAGTACGATGTGTATTCAGTAACATAATTTTTGTTTGTTTGTTTCTTGTTTTTCACTTACAGGTGGAACCCAGTTAAAGACAGAGCTTGAGTTTTTTCTGTAAATTTTGTGGAAAAGAGGATTTTAAAGTAATAATACACCTCATTAGTTTTTAAATTATAGTTGAACAAAAACAATTATTGTGATAAGAAAAATATGGATATGTTTGTTTGGGGCTTAGGATGAATGAGGCTCAAGTATGTTCTGTATTCGGATATGGGTGTTTCTTGTGTTTTGAATAAATCATAATTAGTAATTAAGTATGCAGAAGAGTTGAGTCCATAGATAAACTGGAGAGTAATTGCTGTTGTATCGCATTGTTGTACTAAAAGAAGTTTGTTCATCCTTCTCCAAGTTTGCATTTGTATTCTTGTCACTCAGGTCATTTCACAGCTTCGGATCCTGAGCAGGTCAGTAACTGCTGGCTGCAAATTCGACAGGGAGATCTGGTCTGCTGAACTTTCTCCTGTTCTCAACCTATGGAAGAAACTAAATCAGGTAGGAAAGTAGCTAATTTGAAGAGACAACTTGTTTTTTTTAACTCAGTAACTACATTAACAGTCAAGTGCAAGGAATTATCTTGAATGTTGAAGCATAAGAAGTGAAAAAGTAAATTAAGTGCATTTGAGATGGGAAGTAGTGTTACATGCATGTAATTAGCTATGAAGTCTGTATGTGGCATAACAGGCTGTCACATTTTTCTCCATAAGGAGGTGAGACCACACCCACAGGACAAGAGATTAACATCTTGTACGTGTTTCCAAGAACAACACTATATATTTTAGATTTGATTTTAACCTCTTCATTTCTGTAATATTCACAAGGAAATGTTTAATGATTAAATGTTTAAATATTAAATTAAGTTTTTCCTCTATAATACTGAAATCTGGTACTAGCTATAAATTGAGGTTCATGAAAATCCTTGCTACAGTACTTGTGGTATCCAGTATCACTTCCTTTTTTGTTTCTTTGTTGTTCTGGGATGGTTCAGGGTTTTTTACATAGATTGTAAAGCTTGTTTTCTAATCATTGAATTCTTATTATGAGTGTCTGTTTAGCTGCAACATGTGCAAATTCTCTTTGAAATGCAGGTACTATTGATATATGAGAAGGATCCCTCTTGCCTCATGCTAGGTGCCTACCTAGACATTTGGCCATTATTTTTCTTCTCAACTATAAGTAATAGATCACAGGCATCATGGCCTAAAAACATGTTTTGAGTGCAACAGCACTGCAATGAGAAAAAACTTCCCCTTACTCAAATAACCACATAAAAAGAAGTAGCATGAGGTGCATATCAGAATTTGCCATTACGTTTCTAAACCTCTCATTAAATTCTTCTTTAATCCATACTAAGTGTATGATACATCATAGTTTTTTGTCAGAATAATCTTTTGATACTAAATAACTTTGTGTTGAAATCTGTGGCCTCTGGACATGGACTACTATTAACCAGGTCTGTGATGCTGTAAGAGAAAGCACTATATTTCAGTGTGACACCTTCCCTTATATCTGACTAGAATTAAATATACCTTTAGGCCTGCAAACCTTCTTTGCATGAGCTCAGATGAAGCTGTTGCGTGTATGCATACAGACGGAGAAAAACAGAGAATTTGACCATAGTGTTTGAATGACTGATAAATGAGGGCAGTTTTAAACAGTAAACCAAAACTACTCCACATTAATACTCATTAACAGCACATGTTACTAATGGCTAGTTATTTATCATTATTAATCATTAACACTGCAAATTCAAAGCTCTTATTCTTTAAAACTGGTGTCACAATTTAGCAGTGAGTATGCAGTACCATGAAGCTGAAGTCACATAGCTGGTGCTGGTGGCTGTGGTCCTTTATGGCCCTAGTCACTCAGATGGAGGTAGTCAAGCCTGAGAGCTCTTTGACAAGGGAAGCTGGACCTGACACAGGTCTCATCTTTCCCTCTTCCTGTTGCACTCAAGTCTGACATCTCCTTTCACATGAGTTTTCAGCCCTTTAACTCTCTTCCTGAAGTACAGGCTGGGTGGTGATTAGGTGGGGTTATTTTTTAGGCTGTAGCGGGTACCTTAGAGAGTCACTTGGCTGTTTTTCTTTCCTGGTTACTTGCACCTTTATTTCTTAAAGCAAAAGCCGACTAGCCAGTTCTTAATGTTACCCTTCCTTGGTGACCAGTAGGTGATCATCAGCCAGTTGTTCATAGTTCTCAGACCTCTTTTCAACCTGTGCCCATACTTTCAAGGCCTTTGCTATTGCCCCATGCTTCAATTTCACATTGTAACAGGAGACACCTGGTATTAAATTCCACTTCAGACAGCAAGCTCTCCTAACAAGGTGGTAACAAGTCTAGAAGGCCAGTACAGTTAGTGTAAGACCTAATCTGTAGCCTCGTTTTATCAAGAGCAATTTTGTTTTTACAGGACCATTGGGTACAAAACTCATATATTGTTTGCTATGCTTACTGTATTGTGTTTGAGTTCAAAAAAAGCTAATATTAATTAAATCTTGTGCTTAGTGTACAGCATTTCTATGGGTACAGGAGACCTGTGGTTTAGCTACAAACCCGATGTGTTCACTACAGACTAGCATCAGCCTGACTGCCTGGTAACCCCTGGGTATTCTCTGGCTAACCCCTTGCCAGTGGCTGTCCTGCCATTCTTCACTTTCCTCCTGTGAGTTACCCTGTAGCTTGTCTGGCTCAGAGGACTGAGCAGCTGGTTTCTTTTTGACTTTTGGATCTGTTGATTTGCAAATAGCCATTTTTCAATACATTGCATGTGAGAACGTTCTTTATAGATGTAAAATGCTGTCTTCAGTCGATGCTGTCATAAGGACTCAGGTCCAGTTTTTCATCCACAAATACCCCCAAATCCTTCTCCCCATGGCTGTTCTCAATTCATACATTCCCCAGTCTGTATTGCTATTGGGAGTTGCCCTGACCCAGGTACAGGACCTTACATTTGGCCTTGTTGAACCTCATTAAGTAGTTGTTGTTGTTGTTATTATTTTATTTATTATTAGTATATTTTATCTATTGGCTACAGATAGCATTAAAGTAGAGGCAGATGAGATAGATGCTGACAATACCTTCCATTTTATTTACAAGAAGCAAGTATTAGTCTTCTACCTGCCAAAGGTACTTAACACTAAGGGTAATTGGATAGAATACTTGAATATCTGTTTCAAACTGCTGAAGCTCAGGAAGTGGCCAGTATAGGTCTGAACTGAATCTGGCTAACCTATTTATAAATTCAGAGCTGTTTTTAAAATCATCTACTTTTTATTCCAGAGGCAAAAAAAACTCAGAAGCTTGTTAATATGTAGACAAAGATTAAGTGCATTCTTAAACATTTTTATTCCAGTGCTGAGTATGTGAATTGAGGATTAACTCAAAAAGGATTATCTTAGAATTACCTTGAAAATAACCACTCTATGTCTAAGTGCTGATGATTCTGAAGCATAACAAAGTTTACCACTTAGGTAAAGACCAAAACCTGATGAACTTTACTGTGGGTTTGCCCTATAGAATTTATACTGGAATAATTGATCATAATCTTAAAATGTGGACTTTTTTTTTTATAACCTGTACACTCTCGATAGCACATGGTGACCACTTTTGGGTTCCGTCTTCTGGCGTCCAAGTTCAAACAAAACAGCAAACAGCACTTGACTGGGTATTTCGCTGGACTGAACATCAGTGTTTCATCCTACAAAAACAATTCTGAATAACTTAGAGTATATAATACAGCTGAATTGACAGAATGTCTGCAGAATTTAAGTAGCTAGTGAATTTTAGAAATCAGTGCTAAAACAAAAATTTTACATAATACTGGCCAACATTTCCCAAGTCTGTAAATGGATGATTTAACTTCTTATTGATGTGCCCACTGAAGAATTATACCACATTAAAGGGTGTAAAATAATATTTGTATTTTTTCTTTGAGTGCAAATTGTAATCTCACAAATCAATAGTACTGAGTGCAACTAACAGAGGCAGCAAATGCACGCTGCAGTTGCACGGCCATTGCGCAGAAGAGCTTACAGAAGACCAGGAACTTTGCTCAGTAGAGGATACACCTCAGCAATGGTAGCGACGTGCCACAGGACATAGTCCCAGCTGCTGCTGGAGCGGTGGACCCTCTAAGATGAGAACTTGGACTCAGACAGAACTTGAGGAGGAGGATACAGCTCTGCAGATATCGAGCTCTCTCTTCTGGGGCAGCAGGAGGTGGTCTTCTAACATGGAGATGTGTGCTTTTGAGGATATCCATCATCAAATTAGGGAACTGTGAGGGGAGGTCAGCAGGCTTTGCATCATCAGAAATAGATGGATTTTCTCTGAGGCACTGGAGCTTGAAGAGCCAAGCCCCCATCTTCCCTGAAGGTAGTGCAGGCAGAATCTGTGTCTGTCGGCACAGGAAATGAAGACTTACATGGTGGCAGAGGCTGGAAGCTTGTGACTTTTGTTTCCAGGAGGAAGGCTTCTGCTCCATCTCAAGATCTGCACTTACAGAAAAGATTTAGTGGCCTCATAGCTGACAAGAGACTGGGAGCTCATTCCAGTGAAGCTTCCAAGCCAGCTGAACATGATCCACACAGAAGCACCAGGAGGAAGTGGCAAGGAATAGCAGTGGGTAACTCCCTGCAGTGGGAAGAAGGATGCTCCCATTTTCTGACCTGTTGTCTAAGGAGGTTTGCTGCTTGTCAAAGGCTCAGATCTGGGATGCTGTGGAAAGCCTGACGAGGCTTGTTTGGCCCTCAGACTGTTACCCCTTGATGCCTTCCCACATAGGCCCCAGTCATACTGTCAGGTAACATGGAGCATATAGAGCATGACTACCTGGGTCTGGAGATGGTTAAGAGCATGGGGGCCTTTGTCATTCTTTGTTTATCCATAGCAATAGAATAATGGAAACTGCTTCTCCTTCATCCACAGTTTTATTAGTCCAGACAGAATTTCAGACTGGAATTTTTCATTTAATTTTACTTTAAATGAAATAGATACTTAAAATCTGGTTCAAATCGATGCATACCTGTGTTCTGAGTTACACAAGTGAACTTCCTCTTTCTGTTCAGCTATTCTGGACTAATACAGAATGTCCTGACATTTTCATCTGTATTAGCTTCATTTGGAAAAAAAACCAAAAAAACATTTTAATTCCTACCCTTTGTAAACACTCTTGTAATGAATACTGTCCTAGAACTGCTTCTGCAGTGTCTTTTGGTGTGATTTAATAACAGCTTAACACTAATCAAATTAATTAACCTCTCATGAACTTGCCATTAAGTTAAAAATAAAACCAAAACCAACCAAACAAAAACCAAAAAACACCCCAAAGCCTCATATGCTCTGTATAAGTTTGCCCAAAAGACTGTTTACTGAAAAAATGTGAAGCCATTTTTTCATCACTGAATGACTTGTCAAATGTTACACAAATTTTTAAAAAAATCTTCCTTCATGTGGAAGGATGGCCCACTACAGCCTGCTGGCCAAGACTGGGCTGTCAGAGTAATTCATCCAGTCTCTGTCCTGGTGTCTGTTCTCTTCCCACATAGCCTTCTGCCATGACAGAGTAGATCAGGACCTATATAAGCATTTCATTGTCACATAACTGGATCAGCTGGAAATCACTGTCCAACAGAACTCAGGCATTGCCCAGAGAAGCATAAAAATATCAGGACACAGTGGGACTGCTGAAGTATTTCATTATGTCCAAATGGTTATCTGTCATGAGTAGAGAGAGAGACAGGAATCACTGTTATATTTTCTTTGTAAGGTGGATGGATTTTCTTCCTTGTTTCAGGGAAACCCTTGAGTACCTCCAGGAGAGTTAGAAGGGCCATCCCTAATAAAAATTTGGAAGCAACTGCTTCAAAAGTATTTTTGCTGAATATATGATTATAAATTGTCATGATGTATTTTGCTTTATCTCTTGTTGTGTTTTTAAACTGAAATATAACTAATTATTTTCATGAAGTTGCATAATGCTACAAAGCAATTGCAAAAGTAGTTTTGAAAATTAATGGGTTGTTGCTCTTTTATCTAAAACATTGGGAACCTCAGCTTTGAAAGAACAACAATGTGGTTGTCACCAAGGCAAATCTGGGAAGCAGAAATAGGAGGTCATTCTTTCTTGTATTTTCAACAATGAAAAATATGTGTAATAAACAGTGAGAGGCTGATATTTAAAACTACAGGCAGAGGCACTGGAAGGAGGAGGCAGAATAGGTACATAAAAAGGCCAGTCGGGGTTTCTAAAACCCACCACCCAAACTGAATTTTTATTCAAATGCAGAACTAGTGGAGGCATATGAGTTTATTTTCATTATATTTGTTCGTCATTTCCTGAGGAGGCAATTTTCAGAACATAGTGGCATTTGAAAAAGCTTGAGTTTAGGAAGAGAACACAGAAAAGCTCTGGAGCAGCTTAGGTGGGACTATATGAAGTCTTGTATATCCTGAGATAGTAACAAGTACTGAAATGAAAGAAGGAAAATTAACAAAGTCTCAAAATACACCTAATTCAATATTGGTAGCATAATATAGTATTTAATGTTGAAGATTAGAACCTATCTTCAGTTTCTGACGATTAGGAAAAGTACTCAGTACTTCAGCAGTTCTTCATCTTAATTCCCAAGCAGGTCATGAGGATATTTTTAAGCTGATGTGAATTATATACATAATGGATTTTAGGGGAAAGCAGTAGAACATTAAGTGTATAAGCTGATATCAGTATTCATGTTTAATTTTCCTATAAAAATGACAGATGGGTTGTTTTAACAAATTCTCAGGAGAAAGCATTAGAAAGAGTGATGAAATGAATCTGCAATTCATAGGAGACTGTTAGGTGAAGGACAGAATTGCAGAACTTGGAGGCCTCGTTCAGTAAGTTTTTCATTAATTAACACACTGTATATGAAAGACTGAGCAAAACCTGCAGGTTGCAATGTCTTTATTCTTCCATTTTAGTGATACTAAATGTTCCAACAGGATATTATCAACTAGTTTTTGCCAGTTTTACATTACATTTCATATATAATTCACAAACTATGATCTCAGAAAAATTTAAGTGAAATTCGTACTAAAGACAATATACAACACAACATTTCTAAATGCTCTGTGTTTCTTACACTTTTAACAGTAAGTAACTTTGTTGTATACCCTTTTAGTAATGTGGGAGGGAAGACTATATCCTTCATTTTTATGTCAGTCATAAGCCAAAATATCTGTGTTATTCTTTCACTTAGCTTTTCTCATATCTTTTCTTTGTAGCTGGGTGCAGTATGAGCTTAAAATGAAAAACACATGAAAGTTCTGACAAACTTACAGTGCCTAGGAATAGCTATGGAGGCAGATATCCATTGTTCTGGAAAGTGAGATGGCATGTGAAAATTTAGAAGTTTATTTCATCTGAAGAAAAAGTTGAAACTACTTGTTATTTTACGAAGATCTACTTTAGAGAAAATAGAATCTGATTTTACCTTTAATAAATAACTAGAAATTGGAATAGCAAAACTTTTTTTTTCCCCAAAGGCTATGATTTTCTTATTACATTTGTGCCTTGTAGAATCCTATAAAGGTTTAAATTCCATAACTGAAGTTCAGTGCACCATATTGTCACGTCACGTTGGCAGTTTCAGAACACATGCTAAAATATATGTATGTAATAAGCTGTGTATGAATTAAGATTTGCAAAATTATACCATCTCTTGGAATTATTGAATAAATTTGGATTTTCAGCATCTGTAATTGATGTAATAAAAATGTCAGTGTGAGAGCTGCAGAACCTCTCAGAGTTTGAGTTGCTCAGGATTTACACATAATATTTATTTTGTATTTATTATTTATTTATTACAGACTAATACAGAATGTCTTAACATTTTCATCTGCATTAGCTTCACTTGAAAACATACATTTTAATCCTTGCCATTTGAAAACATCTTTGTAATGAGCACGGTCCTAAGTCTGCTTTTGCAGTGTCTTGTCAAAGCAAGAGCTGTATCTGGTAGCATGATTTATAGTATCCAATAAAACTTGTTATGCTCAGTCCACTACTCCTTTTTGTATTGAAACATTAACACAAATACTAAAAGGAGTGATTAGCTAAGTTAAAATTTGTCAGAAATTTCAGTACTTTTGAAGTAACTGTGTAGTCAGTTTTCTCAGAAGAGCG